AATTCTCCATGCCAAGGCAGCTAAGCCAGGAGCCTGAAAGAATTTGCAGGCAGGAGACTTCAAAGGGAACCGAAGCCACAGCAAAAAGGGAAACTGAGGCAGCTACACTGAAGCCAGGCAATGAAGAGTTCGGGTTGCGCGCGCAACCGGTTGTAACATGGATGTTTCCATCTCAGTGTGCTCAAGGAATGCACATCGACCACTAGGCCTGCTAGATAAAACACTTTGATCTGCAAAAGCATCTCCTTGGTTGTCCCTGGGCTAGTGAAGTAAGAAAACCACCTTGTTTTCCTTGTACTGAGCATCACTCCTCAGACTTTGCCAACTCTGGATTTGCTAGCCCTTTCCAAGTCAATCCCCAAGGGGCAAAAAAGGAGGCGCTCAACGAGATCAGCACGACTGCAACTCCCCAGAATAAAAGCAGCCAAAATTCATACCAGTAGGGTAACCTGAACTCCCACTCCCAGTTGAACAGCTACGCCACTACCTCCTGTGGCCGCTGTTACACACGGTGCCAACGTGCCCAGTGCAGGATCCTGGGGACGTACACGAGATGCTCAGGTCTCCCACAAGCAATGCAACACCGTGGATCAGCAAAAGCTCATTTTTCATGTTCTGCCACCATGGCAGGACAGGTGAAGAGGCAGAGCCAATATAACTGCAGGAATCACGTTAGCACTGCTCTGGGAGACTGTTGTTAAACCTGGACTAATTTTTGTCCTGGTAGCAGAAGCCCCACAAACCCTTAGGTTGGCACAACCGAAGGAGGGTGTGGAGCATCTCGAATCTTTAAAAGCAGCTTTATTGCTGACCCTCGTGCTGTGAAGTCACGGCTGCAGGTTCTTAAGATTTGAAAAAGCACTTAAGAACCACCTACAAGAAATGGAGCTCCTGGCAGCTGTTTCACAGCCTTCGGTTTGATCCAACAGACCGTTAGCTACCGTACCTCTGTGAGCGGAGAGAAGTGTTCTACTGTTTTTTCTGAGCTTGGGAATTTCTTTTCTTCCACATCAAGGGCAGGTAACTTTTTGGGCAGAATAGGTCCCAGGTGTAATTCGAATAACTTCCCTTCTGAGATTTCAGCTCCATACTGTCCCTGTTAGACAAAAGGACAGTAAGCTAGCAAGCAAGCACAGATGTTTTTACTGGGGAATAGCGCAGAAAATCTTGCTCATGTATGAAACCAGGAGGGTTTTTGTACACATATCCAGCTAACAAACTCCAACGTTTCTCTTCGTTGATGACTACATTTCAACTGTGCACCCAGGTAGTGCTGAACTCAAAACTACATGGATGCAAGAGAGGCAGAAAGTTAGTTTGGCTTGGACTAGCATCAAGAGCCACAGCAAAGCCTCTGCTTGTAGGTATCAAGTTGATATTGAGATTAATATTTTGGATTTCCATGATTAAACTGTTATTTTTTATCTCAATCCTGACCAGACATGAAAGTCCAAGAGATGTACTTCCTATCTCACAAAACAAGACAAAACTAAAGATACTGCAGTCCAGCTTTGCAGGTCAACTATGTCTGTGCACTAAAGGTTTTGAAGCTATACCTGACACATTAAAAGGGAACAATAAAAATAGGATAGTGTAGCATGCTCATACTAGTCCAGAAAAAAAAGGAATGGCAGCAGGAAACCCTTTGTCATAGTGCCACTCATCAAACAATGCTCCTGCTTTCCCTGGGAAAAACAACCGGGACAAATACATTGCTTACTCAACACAATATGTAAGTGAAGAGTGTAAAAATTTCTGATCACAAATAGCTGTATTTTCCTAAAAAGTGAAATAATGAATAACACAAGCTTACCCCTGCAATGGCTTGTTTCACTGGTCTTCCCTGTTCGTTCAAGTTTTCTGCTGGTGTGTAGTACCTGCCAGGGGAGAGAGGGAGAGGGAGGGAAGTGAGCTGCATATCCATATTGTCCCGTGTAATTCTCAGGAATTCACCTTCTGGATAAGAAAGGCTTTTTCAAGGCTGATTCTGACTACGGCCTCAGTTGCACAGACAACATCATCTCAGCTTCCAGCACCGTTCTTTCGTAGCAGCAAGACTGGTATAGAATGAAGACCTGGGTGCTTTGCAAACTTTCTCCCATCTACATGTGCAAGACTCCTTGTGTTTATCAGTTTTATTATTTGGAAAACAGGGAAGCAAACAGCACTTCCTCTATCAAGTGCTTTGTGATAAATACTGGGTGCTAGGTGTTAGGTAGAACATGAACATCTGCAACTATACTTGCACCCAAATATAGTTAGCTTACAGAAACCAGCACACTGAATTAAAAATGGGACAGCTATGGGATGTTTACTTGCCTTCTACAGGCTAGTCAAGAGAGTGACCAGCCCCATTTGGAAAGGATTATCACAAGAGATAAAACATACAAGACCTACAACAGATTCCCACAGTATCCTACACTCATTGTGCTTTAAAGGCTTTCAGTCCAGCATGGTAAGAGTAGGTGTCACCAGCCTGGTCAAATGACTTTAGTTAGTAGCTAAACCTCCAAAAAAAGGCAAGAAAACGTTCCTTTTATTTGAACCCATCATACTCTATCAGTTATTTTATTTCTTCTCTCCCCTGGAGCTTCGGGGAACCAGTGACAATTTAAGCAGAACAGTGCTGCACTGCTAAATATAGCTCTAGTGTTTCAAGCAGGGAGAACAGCGACAGAATTAGCTGGATTTGAGAGGCAACTGGCTCATGAGCAATTCCAGAGCCACGAGCTAGCTGCTCCTCTCCCACAGCACTGAGACGATAAACACGGATTGTCTTCTTCTGGATGCTACCAGAGCCCGAACGAGCCATGCACACAGAGCCAAAAGAAACAAGATTAAAAGAGACTCTACCTGGTCATAGCCATGCACACAGAGCCAAAAGAAACAAGAATCGTGATTAAAAGAGACTCTACCTGGTCGTATCACTTCTCTGAGACCCCTGTGGGCCACAAACATCTGGGCGTTTGCCATCTGCAGAGAAAAGCAGTGATAGGAAAACAAGAAGTCAGTTTTCAGTTACCATCAGATGTCGGGAGCGATAACACAAAAACCACTTTTAATGCCAACCGTACGGTTCGGAAGGTTGAACTCTGGCAGACAGCTCAAACTTCGAGTGTCACGTGTGAGCACATGAGAGTTGAAGCAGGGCATTTATTAAGTTTTAAATCCTAGATTGCACACTTGACTAAAGTGATTTTGGCAAAACCAGACGCTCCTCCGGGCTCCGAAGAAGAGCTTGTCGTTTTCCACGACAAAACAAGCTTTCCCCAAATCCTAGCACCTGCAGAGAAATAATTTAAACCCCCAAACCTGCATAATAAAGTCCTAGATACGTAAAAAGAACTATGGATGCAAAATTATTTAAGTCAAGAACAGAATAAAAAGCCCAACTGGGACCATATTAAATGTATACACAGGAACAGGAGTTTACAATGCACTGCTGGCAAGAAAAGAAAACAGCTTGTCAGCAAACCAGTTTAGCCCATTCTGCAGAGGACAACTAAGGTCGCCTTCGGTAGCTACGTGTCTTCAACTCACTAAGATGACCTACAGAAGGGTCTGTTGGCAGGGGGGAGGGTGTTCCCCTCTCTCTTTTATCCCCTGTCTTTCCAGAGTCAACTCAATTCACTCTAAGAGCTGACATGAGCTACACCAGTATAAACACGCTGGCTGACTTGGATTTCCTTACAAATAGACACACTAGCACTGAAAAAAAATCTTTTCAGCATCATCTATACCTTCGAGGCTCAAGGAAATACCCTGTTTTGATTTGAAGTCTACCTACAAAGCGGAGCAGACGTGAATCACAGGGATACTCACTGGTCTTTAGTGTCGCACGCGGATAGACATCTCCACGTCTCGGTTCCTCCAGGGCACTTGCAGTCACCGCTGGTTCCTTGGAGTAGCGTTGAATGCTTTGGTGCAGCAAAAAAACAACAGAGAAGAATCACAGTTTGTACATGGATGGCATTTGTCACCAGTGCACAGCAGTTCATGAGAAAGGACACAGTTTATTCGTACGAAACATGTTACGTTCTGCATTAGAGCTGGAAGCCGTAGTTAAAGCAAGTCAAGTAAAATTAGGCTGGTTCCTTGACAAAAACATCCTGTCTCCTGCACTGCTCTCATGACAAAACGCAAAGGGCAGTTCCACGAGGAGGCAGTTTACGTTCAGAAGCTTGGCCACCTTCAGCTCGGGCATCCTGAAGATACAGGAGTCAAATTTTCCGTCTCCAGCATTTCAAAAGAGACAAAAATCAATCATGAAATCTGATTCCTTTACCTTTCCGCCAGCAAATCGGTGGCTTGTTTGTGGTTTTTTTTTTTCTTTAAAAAGAATTGTTTGCACATCCTGCAAATACCTGGATTAACCTGAGGAGACCACTTTATCTTATGGGACAAGACAGCATTCATCAGAACCATTCTTGCCCGATTCTTTTCAATCTCCTCACTGAAGATTACGCTGACACTGAGGATGCAACATCCACAACATACATACTCCTGGGATATGTTACTTCAGACCTGCTCTACTCTAACCTCAGGGACTACATGCTCTTTAGCAGCTGGAGCACATTGGACACGTTCCACAGGACCACTCTCTGGTTTAGCTTCATCTGAAAGGAATCTCCTTCACATGCTCCAGTTCTGCTCTGAGATAGAAAGGCATGCTGGAACTTCAGCACCATCTTGGCATCACTATTTGACAAGAATTAGGCCCCTTCTGCACGGCTTTGAAGTGTAATTATTCCACTAAGACAACGGCTTCTCTTATTTTTGTGGTTTTCACTTGCGTCGTTAACTTTGTGCCATCTCTTGACTTCCTACAACTCGTGTGAGAAGGATGGTGGGAGAAGGAAAGGAACAGAGAAAATTCTGGCATTCCCTGCGTTTACCTTGAGTTTCACATTCTCAGACAAGGCAGAATTCCTGACCAAGGAAAAACTCATCAATGGCAAACGAGAGGAAGATAAATTCCTTTTAATGGTGCTGTGGATTTTTATACTTGGAAGTTACACTGCCAGCACCACAACTAGACACCACCTTTCCTAACACGGGGACAAGAAAAGAGTATTGGAAAGAGAAACACATCCAGATCTTCACTTTCACAATATACATTCAGAGAACACTCATGCTTCATCGCAGGGGGCTCGAGGAGGGTGTCAGGCTTTTAAAAATCAGTTTGCCCCAACACCTGTCCTGCAACACCATCCAGAACGCTGCGAGTAGGAAAGATTAATTCCCCCCCACTTCCACCTACAACAGCTACAAAGTTAATGGTTATTTTTCCTATAATTACTTGAAGAAGCTTGTCGGCAGCGGAGCAGGGTAACTTCTGGGATATTTTCCCTTTGCCAGTTCCAAGAGCTGCTGGTATTTCACCTTTTCTCCTCGCTTAACATCCTAGCAGAACAGAGGAGGGAAAAAAACCAAACAGATCAGAATCACTGCACACGAAGCAAATGTTTGTAATCCAGATACAATTTGCAGACTGCAAAGATTGCTCCCAAAACGCTGGCAAATTATTCAATTTTAGCAGAAATCCCCACTCCTTCGTTTTGCGTTAGCCCTGCTCTAGGAACTTGTGTGCCACTATAAACCTCCAAATTCCTTCTGCAACTCTTTCCTCAATTGGAGGCCTCTTCTCTTCAGCTGTGGTCTGTACTTTTTCCGTAATAATTCAGGATAACATGCATTTCTATCAATATACATAATGATTGGGTGCTCTGAGCCCCCAGGGTATCTTAATCACACTCCATAGCCTGCTGCTCCAGTTCCCACGGACGCTAGGTTCATCAGGAATTTTCTAATAGTTGCATCAGATATTGGAAGGAAAGGACAGGGAAAGACCTCTCAGATAGTCCTGTAAGGAAGGATTATCAGCAACTGAGTGTTTTTTTTTTTTGCCTATGTCATCTTTTTAAAGTTGCTCTGTAAAGATCACAGTCGAGCTAGGTCAAGCACACAATAGTGAAACAACTCTGCAACAAATACACACTCAGTGACAAGGCACAACTCCACTTACAAGTGAAACTGGCTGGAGGGTCTCCCCCCAGTACACTATTTCCAGGAAAATTGCTTAAAATTCAGTCTTTAGGCAACAAAGCACTGCTCTGTTCCAAGATCTGATGCAGGTGCAGGCAAACAAAACGCTACACGCTGATTTTTCCAGAAGCATTCCTTCCACTTCACTCACTACACCCACTGTGCCACAAAGTGCCACTCCAGCATTTACACACAGCTTTGTTACAACTGCTAAATCGTTTCCTTTCCAAACACACTTTTCTCACCCAGCATACCTCTTCAGCAGTGCAGAAAAGCCTCCCCATTTTGCCAACTTCTGAAGCCGGGGATTCTGGCACAGTGCTCTCCTTAATAAGTGGCTTCTGTGTTGAGATGCCATCTAGAGCAGGTTTCATGTAGGTTTTGCCATTCCAGCTTGTGCTAAAAACATCAACAGCAAAAAAAATAGTATCAAGAGAAGATTCAAACACGCACCTCCCGATTCCAGCCCCACCACCAACGCTTTTGTAAAGGATGTACACCGATGGTGATGATGGAGACAAGCATGAGATGTTTATGACTTTCAGATGAAGACCTGCTGCCTTCACCAGGCTAAGGGGAAAGTAAAGTAAGAGAAGTAAAAGTGAAAATCAGAACAACTGCCTTGAATATACACTGTTGTTTGATCTGCACGTCACGACTGCGCTCAGAGGCACGTGTTATGTCCATGGCAGTCCAGCCCCTGAGTCAGTACACAAGACTAAAGAACCATGCAGGTGTGTTATCTGTACCATCCAACCCTCAGCTCTTCTAAAAGCTACTGCACTGGCACCAAAGCATAGCTGCTGCTTTCCTCACAGAATCATTCCAGCAGAAACCTCTCGAGATATCTGCTCCAACGCCCTGCTCAAGCAGGGTCACCCACAGCAGGCTGCCCAGGACCGAGTTGGAGGTGGGGAAAAAAAAAAAAACAAAAAAAAACAAAAAGCAGCTGGAGACCTCCCTTTGTAAAGCAGCCTGGAGGAGTCCCAGAATACCTTGGGAAAATATTTATTATGTGGACACAGATCCAAACATTAGGCAACTCAGAGGAAGTTCCAAGAATGAATGGAAAGATAGTAAAGCTTTCAGGGAAATCGTCAAAGGAAACAGGATTTTTACCTCAAACATGGAATTGTCTTGTAAGGAAGGGATAGTGTTTCCTTCTTCAAGCAAGTAGTGCATCCACAAGGCATTTCATCTAGGAGAGAAGAGCATAAGCCATCAGTAATTATAAAAGAAAACAGAAGAGTTTAATCAGTTTACAGTAAAGAGCTTCACCAAACAAATTATTTTCATTTTCTCTCTTCCGTCGTAATATCATTTGTGTCACGTTACTTTAGGATATTTTCATACTGACAACTACAGCAAGTTGTGTACGCAACGTATCACCAGCCTAATGCCGAAAGAAAAAAGGGTTATCAGGATGTCCTACCTCAAATAAACATTTAAAACAGTTTACTTCTAGCCAGCTAACAGTGGACAGACCAGCACTGAAGGAAGGACCGCATCCAAGGCAGCTCTTGCACTGAGATGACAAGATGAACGCCTGTCCCCAGCCCAGGAGCAATGCAAGGATGCAGGGAAGAAACAGAGTTCCTACTCAAGTATTCCTAGATATTGTGCCTTCAAAAATCCACCCGTAAGCCCAGGGGTAGAGTTGCACAGTGCACAAGGAAGGGTTAAAAAAAAAAAAGGAATTCATAACTTGATGTCAGCCTTACCAATTTCTGGCATTTCTATGTCGACCGCAGAATGTGCTGGTCTTGTAGATGGAAAGTCAGAAGAAGTGGACAGAGTCTTAAGGAAAAACAAAAAAAGTACCAACGTGAGTACAACCTGAAGGTGAATCCAAGCAAACATGAAATTCCTGAAATTTAGCCAGCTCTGTCACAACTTGGGGACCACGGTTTGCCGGTTCAGACCGCAGCAGAACGCAAACCTTTGCAGAACCTCTGACAAGTACACTTGATTTTTTTTAATACGGGCTCTGATAGGTGCAGCTATTAAAACAATGGAAGCTTATCACTGAGTTCACCTCGACCAGCTCCTCAACATTCCAAAACGTGACAGTTGAGTCCTTCAAAAATGTATTTTGTACAAATAAGAGTTAATGACTCTTTGGGAAGGAATAACTAGAGCATGACAGTTCCTTACTCCTCTTGTCTTACGGGGCAGTAACAAAACTAACACTACACCTTAGACCCAAACTAGGGAGTCGAGCGGTTTGTGACCCGTTTTTACAGAGCTACTGGAATCCTGTCCTGGACTGGTGGATAATAAAAGGAGCAGAAAGAGGTTTGTCCAGAGCAAGCATGCAGTTTTTCTTGTAAGGTAATGTATTTTGACTCCTTAACTACAAGCTTGAGTAACAGTTTACAAACACACTAACGCTATAAACTTGAAAGCCTGTGAAGGACCTGGAAGACCACAACCATTTTGCTTCTTCCTCACACTTGGGTAAGGCAAACCCAGAACACACGAGCTGCCAGCTATAAGGCAACCCAACTCCAGGATGCTTCCTCTTTCACCTTGAACAAATTCTACCCAATTTCAAGGTCCTGGCTAACCTCTTTAGCAGGCTCCCGGATTCGAGCGGCATTGCTGAACGAAGCCTGCTGGTGTTTCCTCGGTGCTTTGGCTAGCGACTTCACCGCAGCAGAAACTTCTTCAACCTTCTTGGCGTCATCTAAAACACAAAGGCAGGCCATATAAGAACGGGATTTAAAAGAGGATTAGGATTTCCATTTGCATCAAAGCCCATCTCCTTAATCCCACCTAAAGCGGCGTCAAACGTTTCAAGCTACACACCTTTCCACCAACAGCAGGCGGGGGTGGGTTTTGTGTTAGTTGCCTCCCAGAGCAGTCCTTCGCTACCCCATGAACCTGCCAGCCAGAGCTGCTAAAACACCCTGTTTTTGGGAATATTCCCTGTCTCCCGAGCAGCAGCACGGGGTGCAATTCATCCTCTTCGCCCCCTCCGCGCATGCATGCTGTCTTGCAGTTGATTACGTCTAGCTGCCAGCAGCTGTTGGCTGAGACCTGGAAACCAAAGCCACCCAAGCCTGTTCTCCTCAGGATTAAAGCAGCAGAGACGTGCAAGCCCTCACACAGCATTTCCAAACATCAACGAGCCTAAAAACGGGGCTGCGTTAGACGTGAAATCAAAAAATTTTAGACGACAGCATTGGTTTGAAGGGTAAGAGAATGACATTTGAGCCAACAAGGGCATGGAGGGTGCCACGTTCTTAGAAGCAGATGTGCCCTATTTACTAAGACGTGGGAGTTGTTCCTACCAAGAGCTGGTTGTGTTGCTGAAAGGAGGAGGGACAGAGGAGCAGGATATTAACTTGCCTTATTTTTCAATTTTTTGTGCTCTTATGCCTGACAAGCACTCTAACAGTCCAGCAGCCCCTACCACTAAATAAGGGGCAGCATCGTTCACCCAGCAGTGGGGAGGAAGCTCCGCATCCCCCCGTAGAACTTGGTTTAGGAAACATCGTGCAGCCTAAAGACATTTCACCCTCTTTATCAGCAAAGAGGGAAAAGGAGAAGTGTCCACCTCAAACCAAGGCCAACGCAGCTGGTACCCATCGATTTAAAGTCGCCTTCCACGGGACAGCCACGAGGAAAGGCTGGCTTGAAAAGCCACAGTTTCAGTAACAACACCAAAACTGGAAAAATCAGGCGTGTTAAATACTCCTGTCACGTGCAATACCTCGTTTTTTCTTTTTCGGGTGAGTCTCGTCAGGATCTTTCACAGGCAGCTGAGCGCTGAGGAAGGAACACACAAAACAGCCGTTTGCATCCACAGGTGAAGCTTCCACCAGCCTCAATTCCCTCCACAGGGCCCAAACTTCCAGAGTTCGCTTCCATACCCCTCCAAGCACCCCTGGGATCATCTCAGACACACGCTTCCCCCACCAACTGCCACTGCAGAGCATCTCTTATCAACACCCCCCCACCTCTCCCAGTCAACACACCGCTGGCGGAGAGCTAATTACCCCACTAACGCATATCAGGCCTCATTTTCTCGTTCTGTTACCGCTCCCTCATGGTTTTTTGGTTCCTAGCACCAAAAAACTTTGCTTGAGTTAATATGTAAAGTATTCCTCCTCCCCCAAGGAAAGCAGCAGCACCACTGGCCATGACTAAACCATCCAAACTCGCGAGTCACCACACCAAGTTGCAAAGAAAAGCCTAATTAGGACAGGAAATAAAAGGTGGGAGAGCAGCTCATGCCTACACCCACTTAAATATCTCACTGCTCCATCAGTGCTCCTGAACTAGTTCCTGAAATAATTCTCAGCTGCACCCTTTCCCACTAAGCGTGAGTCCAAGCATTACACCAGTTGGTAACGACGATAAAACCCAGTAGAGATTTTTACTTTGGGGACGGAGCGCAAAAGGTTGTTCCTAGTTCCATTTTTTTTTTGCTATTTGCCCCCAAAACCACCAGGATAGATTTTTTTTTTTTTTTTTTTAAACTGTTATGGTCCCAAACGCTGCTTCTGGGCTGTCTTGTGTCTGTGTCAGGAGCACAAAAAGTAACTGGTATCCTTAAGGGCACCTTCCACACCATGCAGAGAATATTTGCCCGTTAAGGTCAGGCAGAAAATACTGCGGGGTGGCTGTTAAACAGAAATCTTTTCCTCCAAAACCAGCATTTTTCCTCGGCATATTTGTTATTTCAGAAGGTAAAACTCAAGAAAGCAAAATATTTTTGTCCTCCTGCTCAGTTTTCAGCAAGAGCTCGCTCAAACTTTCCAGCATCAGCATTTTGCAGGGATAAAGCACAACCCAGCCTCCTCCAGGCTACACTCTGAGACACTCACCAGTTTAAAGGCCTGACTGGGGTTACAACAACTGGTTGTGGACAGAAGTGACTCTTTCTCCAGCTTTACCAGAGCACCCAACACCCACCAGAGTGTTGTTTCGCCCTTTTTTGTTTTACCAGCCACTTGGTGGTTTAGAATTAGCTTGATCACAAGGCAAGACGAATTCTCTCTTGGGAATTCAGATATAAATTGGGAAATCCTTGATGTTCTGGCCAGGGAACACGGATGGGTAAAAGGCAAGGAAAAAAAAAAATGAATCTGTGCTTAGCTACCTCCGTTTCCAACGGGATACACAACCCTGTGAGAAGGTTAAACTGTGTCATTGAAATGGAGGTTTTGCCAAGGGCCTGGGAGAAACAGGGAAGCACACAGGGAGATGAGTAATATTTGAAACACTAAATGGGCCAGAAAATAAATGCAATTTGAGACTGTTCT